GCAGACAGCGCTCTAGCCCCTGTTCCTTTTTGATTCGGTATTTAGGTTAGCATATAACTGATGGGTTTCATCATGGCATCCACCTTGTTTCCATTTTCTCCCAAGTGCCCTCTCCCACTGTGCCTGGTTCCCTCTCTTTCCCAATCACTTTCTCGTATGCTTAACTATCACATACATTCCATTACTCTTTCTGTTTCCCATCCAGCACAGGGTATCTTCCTTCTCTCTCATGATTGTCTTCCTAATTTTAGGACCCACTACCCTTTTATTTGTTTGCAGTTCTGCAACTTTGTTTGGCATTCAGCAGTCTCGTTCTCATCTGCATTGACCATCTGTGGTATCAGGCAAGCTTCTTTGGTGAATCTTCATCCTCATTATGTTTTCCAGACAAACGTACTCAGGATATGAACATTCCTCACTCTTTTGGCTCAGACACATTTATCGAGCCTGGTAGCAGTGTGCTCATCAGGAGTTCCCGTCTCCTTTGTGGCAAATTTGTGGATTTCTTTGAGTGCTGGAGGGTCACGCTTCTTGAAGCTTACTTCATGGATGCAGTTAATAGTGTTGATGATGTATTTTTGGGTCACCACCTCGTTGATAGCAGAACAACCCTTCTTCTTGTCACCCTTCTTTGTGGGAGCCATTATGCTGGGCCCAATTCGGAAAGGCTTCCCTCCCTTTTTAATATTTTCATTTATTTAGGCAATTTTGGTGTGTTTGAGATTGGAACTAGCTACACTGCCCAGGTCAATCTCAAACTCCTGAACCTGAGCCAGCCTCCCAAATAGTATCACTGCTCCTGGCTTGTTTTGTGCTTTTTTAAAAATTCAAAGACTGAGTTATACATGCTAGTGTTAGACATGGTGGAGAATTGAGAGTCTGAAGTAGGAGAATCATGAGTTCTAGAACACCCTGGTCTACACAGCAAGTTTAAAGCTAGCTTGTGCATACTGAGACCCTGTCTCAGAAAACAAACACTGCGTCTCCAAATCAGTTATTTAATAAAGTCCAAGGCCTTGGCAGTCTATGACCCAAGGATGGGGCAGTTGCCTAGAAAGCATGAGGCCCTGAATTGAGGATGAGTGGGGAGAATGGGAGAAACTGGCAAGGGATTGCTCAGAATTCACCTCACAAGAGTTCATTGTGTTTTAGAATAAATAAGGATATTTAACTATGTTTTCTTTACTGCTGGAGTACTGGGGGTGGGGGTGGGGGAACAGGGCTTCCAGCGTGGATTTTTGGGAGGTGAAGGTTGGCGATAAGGTGCTCAGAACAGTGACCACCACAAAAAGCATTAAAAATGATCTCTTTTCCAAGTTTTCCTCCTCCTCCTCCTCCTCCTCCTCCTCCTCCTCCTCCTCCTCCTCCT